CCCCAAAACCCCAAAACCCCAAAACCCCAAAACCCCTTTTAACTTAATATTAAAACTTATGGAAATCCATCTTGTATCGAGTAGCAAAGGTAACCTATCTGTGATTAAGACATCTTAGGCACTGAACCAGACTTGAAAAAGAGAGTCAACTGGTTTTCAAGTCTCTCCGATAAATATAAATAAAGTTATTAGAGAAAAATTGCACCAAAAAGAAGCACAATTGGATAAGTAATGCCCATTACCAGATTACGATTGAAGGTATGCCTCTGTTTGTATACTTTAGATGGAGCCCTGTTTAATAAAAACAAGAGATTCCTTGATAAGAAAATGAAATAAAGAATTTACGAAAACTTGTGACCCAAGCCCTCATCGATCTACACTGGAAATCACTCCAACAACAGGCTTAGGTATTCCAATGAATGATTACTTCTAGAGCATCCTTCACCTTCGAATGAAGGATATGTGAACTTCATGGGAAGAGTCCAAGGAGGCAAGATCAGATCACAGAGTGCAGCGGATTATCATAAAAATAAGATTAGGAATAGTGGAAAGAATCATAAATAAACTTAACACAATTAAAATTCCAACAGTCAATCCATTTATGAAAAATGCTACCCCTAACTCGTTGAGTAATCCTTTGAGATCAATAATTTAGATAATGGAGTAAAGAAGCTTGAAAATCATGTTTTACGATGTAAAACTCCTTCACAGAGCTATACAATAAAATATGTTGGACTTACATTCGGCCAAATTGGTGTTTTAAGTCAGAAAGTCCCACTTGAGCCTGTCCAGAAAGAGGTTAAAACAAAATATGAAGCTCCTAAGCCTCTTTGAAAATAAGACTGCTGAAGATCAAAATTGACATTTACAATTAAATGATCCAAAGTCTGTAAAGAGAAATAAAATAGTTGCCAAATTAAATACATGCCAAATAAAACAAGAGAAAACTCCAAATAAAAGCGAGACTTTGAGTGAAAATTCCCTTAAAACACCACCTAGAGATTTAGAAATTATAGAAACCGCCAACACCCAGCTCCAAAGAAAAGCTACATCCCCACAAGAAGATGACATTGGCAGTCCTAAGATGATTAACTTTGATTTCGATACTCTCCATCAGAACGATAATTTCAGCTCAAGTATTTTCAATCCTAATTCTCCAGAGAAGAACTCAGGGTGAAGCCCACCCACTAATCTGACCCCTAAACTATCAAAACCATCCCAATTTCACAACATTCCATACATCCTCACCCAAAAATAAGCCGTATAAGAAGCCCTTTACCTCAAAAAGTCAAAAATTATCAAAAAGTACCAAAAAGTACCCAAATCCTAACCCCCATAAGCCAATTCTTCCCCAAAAATTCCTTGTACAGCCCAACAACACCCAAATGAAACCTAAGAAAACTCTAAAACAGGCATGCACAAATCTGTCAACTAAAAGTATAAAAACACAGAAGAAGAATGTTGGCAATAAGACAAGTTATCTTCTTAAGAGGCAGAATAAAAGTGGTGTAAAGAGGTGCTTAATTTTTAGTCGGGGAGTTATGTCAAGAGTGCTGAGAGAAGTGGGGTAGCTGGGGAAGAAGGTAAGGAAATAAAGAAGGTGAAAATTACCAAACATGAGTTCTTGAGCCAGTCTAGGAGCTCCTCTGGGGCTCTTTTGAGAGGAGATAAGAGTTTGAGTTGTTTTAAGAAGAAGAAAGAGGAATATTTGGTGAATAATTATGCACTCCCGAGAGGTCTGAGTTCTTGCCAGAGAGTTCCGGTTCTTTCTGAGAGTGAGAAGTTCTTTGATAATAAGTACTCCAAGCAAGCCATTGGAGAACTTAAGATTAAGAACTGTTTTACTATTTTAGAAAGGATCGGTGATAATGTTGGGTTTAGAGGCTGAGACCCATACTTAACTTCTCAAGGGAGAAGGAGAAATCCTATATTGCAAGTGAAAAATTTCACACAGATAGAGAGCTCAGGCCAAAAACAATGCAGATTATAAGAAATACAAACGATCTTAATATTAAAACTGCCACTGAGGAATTTGATAAGAATGGGAGGGTACTGAATCCAAATTTCAGCGTTACTCCTTCAAAAAGCTTAGCCAGCATGGCTAACTTAGGAGTGAGCTCAATAATTACATCTCCAATTTGTTACACTGACAGCGAGAACAAGGATATCCAAAAGGTAAAGAACTTGGTGAATAAATACAAATCAAATCAACTAGCTACACATAAATATGTGGAAGTAAGCATATTTGCAAGATATTTTAGGACACTGAACTTCATGAAAATCTCATCTCTGGCGGCAGCTCCCCAACCAAGATGATGAAAGATGAATCGATAGATATTCAATGCCAGATTGTAAAGAAGAATTCTGATTTAGAAATTCCTAAACAAGAAAATTTATTTAAGAACGAAGATATTCATAAAAGCATCAATAACAGCTCTAAAAAGCAAGAAGGTAAATGTATGGGATTAATGTGATACAGGGAGCATATTTGAAGTGCCATTTCTACAAACCAGAAAGGATCAGAGCCCGTTAGTAAGTATTCCCTCCCCCTACCCTTCATTCTTGCCACCTCATGGTCTACCCTACAACCTCTCTAACCTGTACCTTAGCCAGAGCCAAGCTCAAATGAAGAACTGTTCCTACAATTTATAAAGTTCAAGTCTAAAAATAAGTAAAAAAATTTCAATTTCTAAAATTCCCTGAGGGGTTTTGGGGTTTTGGGGTTTTGGGGTTTTGGGG